TTTCCAATTTTCCAATCTTGTATGCCAGAAATGTTCCTTTATTTAGTAAAGCTATCCTCTTACCACAGCCCCTTACTGTATTTGCCACTTCTCCTACCACTTCCAGATATACTACATGTAGCTGCCCTTCAAATCAAGATCCCCAAGACCGCCTTAGGGTTGTTAGTACTATCTAGCCAATCAAGGATTAATATGCACAGCCTTATGCAGTATTACTTTCTGTGATGCCATGTTACATATAGTGCCCAGTCTTCTCTATGGCTCAGAACTCCTTCCAAGAATTTTTATAGACCAAATAAATACTTCATATGGTCTTATCGGCACAAAGTTTCGTATTTGAAAGCTCCTATAGGTTACAGAGATAATTAATTAAATTAATTACTAGCTATAATCGAACTGTTGACCTTGTCTGTGGAGGGTTAGACACCTAGACCACTAGGCTATGGGACCCTAACCCTAATATAATCTTAAATATATACTATACTAACTAGAATAGTAAATTTTATAACAGAAATAATATTTTGTGTAGTAACTTTTAATAGAAGTTGAAGTTATAATAATTTTAATATAGTTTAATTTAATATATACTTCAATTACCAAAGCAGGTTTTGTAATAAAATTTTTAAAGTAATATATGATTTTTGAAAAAATTTGTGTCTTTGTTACAGAAAAAAATCTAGTATTTTTTAAACTATCTTGTATACTGAGTGCTAAGTTATTTTGTTTTTATTAAAATAAGTAAATTTAAAATCTTTTTATAATAAAAATATCAAATTATCAATAATTAATAATTTTGTGTCAAAATCCCAAACAATGGATCTCTGAAAGAATATAATACTGACAAAGTTAGCTGGCATTAGCTATAATGCTGGCCAATTTAGTCAGTATTATGTTCTTTCAATAATTAATAATATTATTATATTATCTGCTATATATAATTATTGTCGCAGATTAAAATAAAATCAGATTAAAATGAAATGAGTGACCTCTCTCGCTCCTCTTTAAAGCTTATAAAACTCATTTATACTCTTTTTTTAATAAACCTACTACTAAACCCTAACCCTAACCCTAAAAAATGTTCCCAAAAATTTTTTAAATTGTCCCTAAAAAATATTAAAATTTATTTTAATCTAATTTTATTTTAATCTGTCACAATTATTAGTTAGCTACAACAAGCAGCAAAGCTGTCTACATATACAATTTCTAATTATGACAATAAAAAATAATGAACATTATATTGTTACCTATTTATTTTAAGTAAAGCAAATAAATTTATTATTTATTTGTTGGTTAAAAAAAAAATATTAAAAAAAAAACATTTTTAAAAAAAAAATGATTGAAAAAAAAAATAAATTTCATAAAATATTAATAAAATTTTATATAAAAAAAATTATTTTAAATAAAATATTTACAAATCAATCTAAATAAAATAAAAATTTTTATATGCACATTTTAGAGTATACAAATTATCATTTTCAAAAAAAATATTTAATAAAGTAATTATTTATAGTAGCTTATTATAAACTTTAAAAATAAATATTTTTTAATCAAGTAAATAAACTTTACTTGTTCAAACTTCTACTACTCTTTTCATTCTGAAAAAATACTTTATTTAAAATTTGATAATATTTCTGTATTTGGTTATAATATAATAAATTTTTTACATATTTATTCACAATTAAAATTTCAGAATTATGCCACCATTTTTTGTTGCTATAAATAATAATTACTTTAATTGAAATGTATTTTGGTTTTGTTTTAATAGTAAATAAGATGCATCTTTTTTAAATATTGGTTTTGGTTAGTACTGCTTCAAAAATATACCAAAACATATTAATATCTTTATATTTACTTTAGTGATTCTTTTAAAAAAATACATAAAATTAAAAATATCAAAACTAACAAAAAAAAGATATTTCTTTGCTATTATAAATAAATATTTATTTGTATTTTTTTGGATGTTCACTAAATTCTACTTGCTTGTTATTAATAAGTTTTTCAAAATTTTGCTTCAATAACAATAATTTTAATTTAAATAATGTATTAAATTAATTTAGCTAATGTTTTATTTGATAAATATAATAATTATTAAAATGCTATAACTTAGAATTAGTGGTTTGAAAATATTTATAAAAAAGAAAAAAACTATTAATTTTTATAAATAATTGTAAAAAAAAAAAGCTTATTAACATAGTAAGATATAAGAAAATTTATCTTATAAAAATTATATAAAAATATAAAAACAATATTAAACTTATATAAATACTCTTTATATTTATTTTTTTTGTAAACAAAATTTACTTATTCATAAAAAAAACAAATTTTTTATCTATATTTATATACTATAATATAATCAATAAACTTCTATATAATCTAAAGTTTATGATAGTTAATTAGAGCTTGAATTAAAATAGCACTAGCAATATTATAAAAACAACCAAACTAAATTTAAAAAATATCTATTTATTTTTTTGGTTAGATTAAGTTGAAGAAAATTATTTAAGCTATTTAAAATTTAAATTACTTTGTCTTATTAATAAAATAAGTAATAACAAAATTAATAAAAATAATTAATAATAATAATTAATAAAAATAATTAATAGATAATAATTAATAGATAATAATAATAATATTAATATTTTAATAATAGCATTTTATATAAAAAAGTTTATACTAATTTGTAATTATTTTTCTAGATATTTATGAGATTTTTTATATATCTGGAAGAAGGTTTTGAAGTAACTGATAGTTTTATTAGATATTTGTAGAAATATTACAATCTTTATTTTGCTTATCTTTTTTATTACTAGAGTTAATTGTAAAGATAGCAATAGCAGAATTAGTATTATTACAAGAAGCACTAGTAGTTTTATTATCAAAGATTACAAAAATATATATTAACTATTGGACAAAAAAACTTAGTTGTATCTATTATATTGTTTGTTTTAGTATTATTAACATTAACCTATATTAGAATTACTTATATTAGTCTTAATTAGATTTATTATTTTTATTTTGTTCATCATTAATTACTAGCTTACATTTTTTACTTATAATTTAATTATTTAGACTTTATTTATTCTTACATTTGCTCTACTTCACTAACTTTGCTTAAGTTAAGTATTTTATGATTTTATATTTGTATCATATATTCTGATAAATTATTTAATATTTTATTTAATTTGTTTACTTTATTAATTAAGCCTACTATAGTGCTTTTTTAAGAAAAAAGTTTTTATTAATATATAAATTTTTTGTTAGTTATATTATTAAGTTAATAGTTCTATTAAAGCAAATTTCTATTTAAATTTTCATATAATTACTTTTATCTTTTGTATTGAAACTTCTTAACTAGTGATAAGAATCTATAACTATATACTAAAAAAATTTGTATATAACGATAACGTTTAGATTATCTATATAAATTAATTTTATTAAATTGTGTAGCCATAAATCGTAAGAATCTTATTGGCTTACTTTAAATAAAACACTTTTTATAGTACTTTGACGCGTAATTATAACACATTACTTTTACTAATTTTTTTCGCTACATGCCAAATAACTATTTACTGTGAATTATTGACCTAGAAAGTATTATATACTTATATTTTTTATGTTATATTACAATAGTACAAAACAAATAAGTTCTGTAACGTACTTTTTTTTTTACATTACCTCACAATATAATATAAATTTGTACTTCCAAAATAATAGGTACGTTTTGCACCAAAATTTTTTTTCTGTAAAGTTAACTAATTTATCTTTAATTACTTGGAGTAAGTTCTTTAGCAAAATTTTCAATACTAACTTAATCCCTGTACTAGGAACATGTGCTCTATTACTACAGTAAGGTATATGTATAAATTTGTATTTATAGTAGTAATTTATGATAGAATTTATGATTGTAATGCCAATACAAACTAACTCAATTTTGCCACATATGAGTATTACGACGACAAGTAACAAACACTTAAGATGGGTTACTGTAGTAAAATATAACTTTTGAGTTATAATAATTAATTATATTAACACATGATAGAACATATATATTAGATATTTTTTTTATAACTATAGCTTTAAATTACTATAATATTATTATTTTTTAATATTAAGGTTTAAAAAGAATTTCATAACTGTACAAGTGACAACCACGACACTGATCAATTAATTCAACAAATGCAAAGAAGTTTAAAAACATTATTAAATGGATACTCTTTAGTAAATTTGCAAATATAAAGTATCTTGCTAAAGGAGGCTTTGGCACTGTTTTTAAGGCAGTATGGATTGACAGATATATTATAGGACTCAATTTTTAAATATAAGTGAAAAAGAAGTTTGCAAATAGATATTTGTTTAAAAAGTCTTGATAATTCTAAAGATATAAAACAAGAATTTTTAGATGAAGTAAGTATTATAATTTAATATTTATTTAAGTATAGTAATCTTACTCTAATTGATATTTTATTATATAGATTAAAAATCAACATATATATAGACAATTGCGATTTATGGAATAATGGGGTAAATATAAAGTATGCAAAGCAAAGAAGTCTCCAAAATTTGTTAGTAAATATGGTGAATTAGACTAGGCTTCTAAAATAGCTAATCTATATCACATAGCTGATGGGCTTGATACAATTCATAATGTTAAATTAGTGTATAAAGATTTTTATTCTGAAAATATAACCTTTGGATCCCCTAAACTAAGGTGTTATCTGAACCCCAGCTTAACCTAGCTCTCTGATTATATCTACTCTCAACATTATCTTCTAGTCAGATGCCTTCTATATGTGATACCTCAGCTGTGGTCTTTTTTCTCTTAATTATCTCTTTCAGAGTATATAATAAGTAAATAACTCACTTTTTACGAGGTATCAAGATTAAGAGTAATTTCAGAGAGTTATTAAAAATAAAGGAGTTAATAGCAGAAGGAATCAATGATAGGAGATAAAATTAAAGGGTGGCTTAATCCAGGTTTAGCCCCCAATGCTGCCACCTTCTGCACTCTCAACATTACCACTATCTTCTGTGTCTTTACAACCTTCAAGTAAGACAAAAGGAGAATCTCTTTACAGTATAAGAGAAGAGTGTGAGATATTACTATTTAGAATCTTTATATATTTGATAGATCAAGCGAAAGGGGTTAGCATGTTATTAATAGTGAGTTTTTGTTGCTTAGGTTAAGATGAATAGGATGCGCTTAAGAATTGCTAAATGTTTGAAAGAATCACAAAATACTGCTACCTCATTGACAACTTTCAATAAAATTAATATGACATATATATTCATATCAAAACTATTATGACAAAAAATTTAAAATAACATTTTAGCAATATTATTGAGCTTTATAATATTTACAAGGATGCAGTTCTCAAGAAACATAGTGTCAAACTTGGATTTATGTCTACATTTGTAAAGGCTTCTACTATTGCACTCCAGAAAGTTCCACCTGTCAATGCATCTATTGCAGAATTTGGTGATACTATTATATTCAGGAACTATGTTAATATGAGCATTGCAGTTGCTATACCAAAAGGTCTGACTTCTGTAATTCACAATGTCCCAAAGGATACACAGCACTTATTTCTAACTTTGACATCAAAGAACCTACAATTTTTTCTAATTTAATTCTATTTGGGTATTACACACGAGATTCTTTGGATCCTGCCATAGACCCAGCGGCTGGGGCACTCAACACTACTTTGAGAAGGAAGGCTAAAAAAAAGCCTCAGAGAAGGAGTAAGAATTTACTCAATGATGAAATCTAGATTATTCCCTAATTAAAATATGTATAGCTCTTACATTACTGATTTTGGCTATATCACAAGACTCAAGTTCTAAAGCACTTTTTCCTATATTGCACCAGAAGTATTGTATATGAATGGAAAGGAATATACTCAAAAATCTGATATTTATTCTTTTGGAATAATTATATCAGAAGTTTTTACTAGATATTCTTCATATTGTAATATTCTACATAATAAAAGTCTAGCGATTCAAGTTTGTCTAGATCATAGACCAGATATTGGATATAAAGCTTCACAATTACTTTTGGAATTGATGAATAAATGCTTAAATGTAAAACCTCAAAACTGACCAATTGCTGGAGAATTAGCTAATGTGAAATGGATGTTTGGCACAAATAGAAGACCTTTAAGATACAAAATCAGGTTCATTTAGGTGTTTAATACATCAGAATGCCAATAGCTCTATATATAAATTAATAAAACTTTATCGATTTACTGAACGCCTATATGAACCCAATTTTGTATCTTAAAGGTCTCCTATTTGCGCCAAACATCTGTTTCATATCGGGTTCATATCTGGATTATGTGATACTGACTGGTGCTCAATTTGCCTTCATTTAGTAATAGTAAAGAATTGGGGCGTTTAATACTATAATTAATCAAAACTATATAAGCTTAATCAATAAATATATAATAATAGATTTTCAAAATATATATAAATTAAAAAAAATAGTAGGTGTGGCAGCTTAGTGAAGTGGTCTAGTTGTCACTTTCTCCAAGTGGCAGGTCTAGAGTTCGAATCTTATAGACGATAATTTTGAAAAATAGGCCTGTGGTACGGCGACCTGTATATTATTATTGGGTCTTGAATTGTGGATCTGTAACTCAAGTTGTACTAGGGAGTGATCCTGAGAGATCCACTAGCATTTGTACAACTGGGAAAACCCGGGAACTACAAAGGAATGCAAACTAGCTTAGGGCAGTACAAATACTTAATAAGTCCATGATTGTGTAAATCTTGGGGATCACTTTTACTGTACAGAAAGCCTATTTGGGAAGTCCCAAGTTGGGAGTAGCAGTGATCTTTGACGGTATTACATGATGCTAAATTCGAACTGGGGCCGAGATCGGTGAACCGAGCAACCAGGTCCTTTATAGAGGGACATACCAGCTGAACTGCTGGGTACTAGACACACTGGAGAAAAAGGGCATATGCTCTGAAAGTATGGACCAAAAGGAGAGCGTCCTTCAGGTACTTAAAGCCTGGGCAACCCGACTTTTCCGAGTTACCGGCTGGAAGTAAGAGAGAGACCGATTAAGAATCTGGGTAAGAAGATGGTTAAATTGGGGTACTGGGGTTGTTGTAAACCTTGCAAGGGCAGGAGTATGTAATGGTGTTTGAAATATGGATTAGGTTATGGCAGCATCCCAAAAAGTTGGCTTGAGATATGAACCTGTTGGTGGCAACACAACATGTACTAGTTAGGAAGAAGTTACCGAACATGCATGTACCATGTTGTTAGATTTACTACAAGGATAAATGCCTTTTGTTGTTGGCTAAAGTCTTAGTGTCTTAAACAGTAAATTGTTCCCATTAAAAGAGACATATTAGGAGGAAACATATAACACTAGTAAAAGCCAGAAAGTTTAAATAGATAGCTTTTTAGTTGGGCTATAGGTATGACATCTAGTATAGAACCCTTAACATAGCACTAATGCTTCGGGCGGACTACTTAATTAGGCAACCAAAAGTTGTACGTGTGGCTAGTTGTACTTTCGTGATACTAATGTAACATGTAGTCTAGTCTTCAGACTAGACTACTACTTGTACTAATAAAGTGCCAAGGACTACAAGTTGTCACTTTAATATTCAAAAAAATAAATAAATAAATTAAAAAAAATGATTTAATAATTTTTTCTTGCATATTAATGTAAAAATTTTTTATGTAATTTTGTTCATATTGCTACAATTAATATAAATAAAAAATTTGAACAAAAACTATCGAGCCAATAAGTTTAAACATCTAATAAAACCTCACTTTACAAATATTGTTTGTATTATAGCTATCATATGATCTTAGACCAATTAAATTGCCGAATTTGTAAATTAGTATAAATTGATAACATCAAAAAATTTGCACTTAGCGGATTTACAAATTTGTTAATATAGTTTTAATTAATTATATGATATTAGACACCAAAGTAAAGAATCATTTTTCACCAATTTAAATTATGTGATGCTTATAATCTGGATATGCTATAGTTTAAATTTAATATATTATCATTACATGTTTTAAATCAGTAAAAAATGATTTTTACCATTTCAACTCCATTTGACCTGTATTACTCAATCTTAATCTCTTTATATCCATATAATATGTTATGTAGTAAGTAAGTTTAAATTTTTTTATTGGACTTTTTTTTGAACACAAAAACTGAAAAATTGATTATTGCTCTCTTTAATTATAATATTAGACAGTCAATTGATGTATATATTACTAGAAATTACTCTAAATTTAAAGAATCACATAATAGAACTTAATTACTCACTCTTTACCTGATTACTTTTTTTTCTAATCAAATTAACAGCAAATCAATTTCTATTACATTTATTTATATCAATGTCAATATATAATATATCAGTTAAGGATAGAGTGTATGTAGATCATTTATCATATGATTTCTGTGTCACAACGTGATTTTTGTAAAAAATAAAAATATACTACTAATAAAACTTTTTACTATTTTAATTAATTTTTGTAAATTTTTACAATATATATATTAAAATGTATTCTTTATTGTAGTAAAATTTTTAATAAGTTAAATATTTTAAAAAAATAGACTTGTATATATTGTAAAGTTTTTTTAAGTTGACCCAAATTTTCTTAGATTACACAAAATTATTAATTTTGATTGATTCGTATCATATGATCATCATATGATTTTTTGCAATACTTAATCTTTAAATTAATATATTTCGCTGAATATCTAACCAATCTTAATGATTTTACTATCATTAGAATCAGAAAATTCTACTCTACAACTTTTAGTAAAGATTTATAAATAATTTACTTACTAATATTTTCTTTAATTTTAAAAAGTAAAAACTTTTACCATTAGTTTTATATATAATTTGCAACTTGTACACTCTGCCATTAAATAAAAATCTAACCACTACCGATCAGCCAATATCCTTAGATTTTGGAATACTACTAAACTATAATTTAGGAACTGTTAGACAAATATAACTTAATTGGGCTAAAAAAAAAGTGTTGGTCCCATGATTGTTATAATTAAACCTTAAATCTATAAACATCAAAAATATGCTAATATTTTTATAAACAATATTAATGCTGATTTCTGATCATAATAATCATGGGACCAATACTTTTTTTTTAGCCTAAGTTGCATGTTAGACAGAATAGTTATTTATAATTTAATTTAGATAAATAAATATTAGATATTCAACTAAGTATAGCATAACTAATATTATATAGTTATTGTGTACAAAGTATGCAATAACTGCTGTATTTTATGGATGATGATAATTGGTTGATAGCCCAGCCAGTATGGCTAGATTACCAAATGATCAGAAGAAAACATAAAATACAGCAGTTAGTATATATAGAGCATGTAATAATAGTTTTATTTTATGATTTACTATCTCAGATTTATGAAATAGTTCAATTTAAAAATACCATAAAACAATTGATTTATTTTATAAACTGATTATAGTAAAGCATTAAATAAAGGATATTATTGTATAGCCATGTTGTTACTGCTATATCAAATTTTGATTATATTTGTATAGATCTTTTTTTCTTTTTTTATTTTGTTTTAAAACTAATAATGCTATAAACAACTAATAAAATTAAAAAAATTTTACATATAAAAACTAAGAAAAAAACAAAATTTTAACTTTATTTCTTTTGATAGTTACCTTATTTATTTAATATAATCAAATACATATAGTAGTAACAATTACTAAACAATAATAACATTATTGTATAAAGGTAAAAAATTAACACAATAGTATGGATATAGATCAATGGATAAAACAAATATCTTTCAGATGTTTTAGAGCCACTATCATAGCCCTAAAATCAGGGTTGGCATGAATGGAATTCGGACAATGGAAATCTGTCCGAAAAATAGTGTCCGAACTGTCCAATCAAAAGCAATAAACATTGGACCGGACATATGAATGGTTATTAACCAATCAAATCATGCATTAGATAGACTAAAACGTAATTTATTAAACTCAAAATTTATGTAATACATACCAGATATGATTTATTAAGCA